CTTCGTTATATGCTATTTCTCCGACGACTATCCCGATTTTGTAAATATAATCGACCTTGATAAATTATTTTAAAATCGACAACAAAGAGAAATTAAAATTATATCAAATATTTTATAGCATTTCTAATAAGTTTATGAATGGTGATAGTTGCTCAATTGGAGTTATTGAAAATAAAAATGTACAGATATTGGTCAATTTTTTAACTCCAAATGTTCCATTTTTTCTTCTTCTTGAAAATTCAACAGGTACTTTATTTACAGAAAATGAAAAAAAATGAATCATAACAAAAGACAGAGAAATTTGAAGTTTTTAAAATGGTGGGTTGATGCTTTCACCGATTTTGAACAATCTTCATCATTTTTCTTCAAATTATCGTCCTTGTGAAGAGAAATTCGAACTTCGGATACAGAAGAGACGGTGCCGGTGGCGGCAGCAGAAACAGAGGCTGCTAAGAGAAGTGATTTCTTCATGTTGTTTTTGGATGGAAAAATAAGGCATTTTTGGGAATTGAATGGATGGTAGTTTAAATGGTGGGTTGAAGGAAGATGAGTGTGGGGGTGGTTTTTTTTTTTATGATTTAAAAGATTTATGTTAATAAAATTAATTTTTTATATATATATTTAGTCAATGCATGCCAAGTGTCAACAAAGTAGGTATAAATATTTTTAAAAAAAATTAAAAAAATGTATTCACGCGCTCAGCAGCAGTGAGATACACTTATTTTGCCACATCAGCGTTTTGTGTTTAATAGGCACATTTCTTGATAATTTAGGTGTTCAATAGGTATAAGTCCTAGTTCAGGTGTTTAAGTGAATTATGTGGACAACTTTAAGGGACTGCAGATGACTTAAGCCTTTAATAAAGGGTGTTCATAAATAGCAATTTGTTATGTTAAGGATATCCAAAATATGTTATTTTATCATTTTATATATCATTTTATTTATATATATGGTTCCAATTAGACACCCCACTATGTATGTGGCTATGCCATTGCATAACCATGATGTCCCATGGCCATGGACGACATATGGGCGTGGGATGATTGTTGCATCTCGTTACCATAGCCACCTTCATTATGGACCATGGTGGCACTACTTGAAAAGTTGGTTGATTCATGTGGCATATGCCCATGACTCCCATGATAGCCATGACTACCATAGTTGTCATGTCCATGGCCATGAACATAATGTGCATCATGATGTTGGGTGTGGCTACCATGATCTATCATCATGTGATTGTTGTGAGAAAATGGCATAGTTGAACAATAACCTATAGGCCTCATCATTTGGCCATGACTACTATCATAATAGTTTGCTCATGAGAGTATGATTGATGCTTGTTTAAGCCAAGTTGATTTTGGAGAACCATTTTGAATATTATTGATGTTAGATGCTACACAATTGCACTTAGCCAAATATGTCAAGTTGTTGTTTGGTGATAATGTGATCTTGACTAAGGTATATTTATAGGGTTACATAATTTTGGGCAGATGTTCAAGACTAGAGGATTCTAATTATTAGATAAGAAAGGCATCTCATTCCATTCCATATTTTAGAAAAAAGTAATTAAATGTGGTATAGTAAATTATTTCACGGTTGTCATAACTTAGCTTACGCATCCAAAAATACTCATAAGCTTTAATTTATTCCCCCGATTCAACTTGAATATTGATAAACCTCAGGAGTACTTAGAAAATATAATCACATTGAATTATACCTTTGAAGGAAATCAGTATGCACTAGTCAAAAATGACACAATTAATTAACGGTAATCGTTTCACTATAGTTAAATATATTTTTTAAATTTTTTTAAATATCGATAAAGTTTATAGCGTTATTAGATTCAATAACAATTAGTTAATATTATTAAAAAATTTAATACTATTTATTAATTAATATGCATATTTATTCTAGTGACACTATGGGGGACCTTCCGACCATTTATTAACCAAAGTAATCTGAAAATTATACAAGACTCTCTTTCAAATGAAGTGATTTTGATTTTATTTTCCTTTGAAAAAAGTTTTAAAAAATGATATTCCTTCAAGTTTAAATAAAGTAAAAATAACAACTTAAAAATTCTTTTGGATATTTAAAAATTACTTAAATAGAATAAAAGTAAAAGTCTTTTGGATATTTAAAATTACGTTAATTTTTCTTAGACATCACGATAATTATCAACTTAAAATATTCAAATTTCAAAAAACATAAAAGATTCGATGAGCTTTTAAAATTTTATCAATGTCACATAAATTTGAACAGAAGAGGTGACATGAATAATTTTAAAATAATATAAAAATATTATAAATCACAATAATTAATAAAACATTTAAAATCACATTAACTATTATCTTCTTAACTTGACTACATTTAACATGCACCTTTTTTAACAGAAAAGTCCCAGTAGTTCATACCTTTATGATGCAACTTCAAAGTCAAATATTATTCCATATCCATCACGATATATACCGATAAATACAAATTTATTGAAAGTAAAAGGAATTAAACGGCACAATATAATAAATAAACCATTGAAGTTTCATTCTCTAATTGTAAAAAGTTAATTCCATGTTAAGAGGAATCGTATTTGGCTTCTAGAAAAGTTTATGCAGCAAAAAAGTAACTAAAAAATTGTTATATTCGGTGGCATAGCCACATATAATCTCATATAGCCAATCAAACACCCTTAATTGAAAAATTATATTACAACACATAAATAATTAAATATATTAGTCAAAAAAAAAAATTCATACATATATATTAAATTTTGGGTACTCTTAACAAAAAATTTTTAATTCATCATGGGTTATATTCCTAAGAGGAACACATGTTTTATTACTCATTTAAAAATATATAGTATACATTCGCGATCGCAAATATTTAGAACACAATCATTTTTTTAAGGAGTAAAAAAATGAATAATCCAACTTCTTCTCTTGTATTTTTCTTGTTAATCTTCACTTGTTTATGTGAAATAACAACAAAAGCAAATGTAGAAGATGCCAAGGTATAATAGAATTATTATTGAATTTGTATATAATTTTTTTTAAAAAAAAATGATCTATGAAACTTGTACTCCTTTTTATCCCTTTTACGTGTTGTTTAAACACTATTTAAAAATATTGATTAAATAGAATAATTTATCAAAATTATTCTTATTAATCCTTTAATTTTAGTTTATAACTAATGCTTACTTATCCCAAATTAATCTCTCTCAATATTTATTTAGTGCAAGGATAAAATTGAAAAAAGAACTTATTCTTCGTACTTTTTCTAAAATAATAAGGATTGTGAAATACATTATTAGATTTATATTTGAACTATTCATAGCTTAAAACTAACCATTTATTTGACTAAATTAACTTAAATACACCCATTTTCAATACTTATCTCGATTTTTATTAAGAAGTTCATGTTCCTACAAGAGTTTAAGATCATTTGTTATACCACGTGACATATTGAGGGTGTATTTTAGTTAAGTTACAAGTGGAGAGGTGTTTTTAAAGCTATCACTAATTCAAAGCTAAACCTAATAATTTACGTTAAATTCAAGAATGTTTTCAATATTTCTCTCTAATAATTAATTATTGAATTTTTATTCTTGATTGTATACTCTTTGGATCTACAGCTTTACATCGTCTACTTGGGACACAAGCCGCACGATAATCATGAACTTATCACAGATTCACATCATGACATTTTAGGCCAAATTATTGGAAGGTATGTATATTATGTTGTTCTGAATATCAATTAATAATAATAAAAATTATTATGACTATAATTTTCTCTCTACAATGCATAAAGTTATTTTCACAAAATCACAAGTCTCAGGCCATTTATTGAAAAAATACTCTATTTTGGATGTGACAATCTTGATATTATCGTAATAATTCTTTAACCCAATATATTTTACCCAATCAATAACATTCATCATAAGTTCCCACCCAAGCTAAGTCAGAGAAAAAGTAACTCATAGTGTAACTCGAAGTCAAACCTCAAGCCGTAACAATAAGAAAAGGTAATTTTTAGTAACAATAAATAGATATATTAATAAAAAGTTAATGTCGTTAAACCTTTAATGACATATATAAAGAATGTTAATTATCGCTAAAAATATATATTTAACGATAATTGTTAATTAATTGCTACTAAAACTCATTTTTAATGTAGTGTTCCCTCTTTGAATGACCATTGAACGCTCATAATCTATCAAAAACATGCTCATATTCACATTGATACCCATAATCTTATCACTCAATAAAAAAATATCTTCTGAAGGTCACTCAACTATGAGTTCTTTTCTCAAAAATCACTTATCTTTATTTTATATCCTCAAAGTCAATCAACTATGAGTTTTATTCTCAGAAAGTATAAACCCAAAGTCACTCAACTAGTATAAGTTATTCTCTCAGAATGTCACTCAACTATTCATATTTCTTACAGAAATTCACTCAACTTCTATTTATAACTTCAAAGTCACACAAATATGAGTATTTTGCTTAGAAAATCACTCAACCTATTTAGTTTAATTTTTCATTCGAATCTATTTACATGAATTTTTTCTATTTAAAAGGAAAAATAGTAAGAAATAGAATAATAATAATAACAATTTTATTAATTAAGTCTAATGTGATTATTTATTTATATTTTTGTTTCAACTGAACATCACAGAAAATGAATCACTCACTACAAGAAAATTGTGAATTATATGGAGATTTTTTTATTTTTTACAACTTTAATTTTAAATAAAAATTTCATGTCAAACACATTTTACTAAAAAATTAATTAAATAGGTTGGGTGGCAATATATTCATAATTAAATATATAATGAAGTAAATATATACTAATTGCATTCTTCTCATGTAGTAAAAAAGAAGCCAAAAGACAAATGGTATATAGCTATAGACATGTCTTTTCTGGATTTGCTGCTAAGTGAGAAGAAAAGCTCTATCAATGAGCTTTAAGAAGATGAAGACGACACGAGAGAATGATGAAGAAGAAGTTTTGTATATTTCTGTGTTATGTTTACATATGAGTCCTTATCCTTATATATATATACAATTACATTTATGTATTAAAGAAACTACTTTACTTAACTAACTTGTATTTAACTAACTAACTAACTACCTAACTAACTAACTAACAAACTGAAATATTAAAAGAGTATATGTTTTGTTTATAAGCTCTCTTAACACTCCCCCTCAAGCTAAGAATTGAAAAATACATTTTTCATTCCTAGCTTGTTAATCAGTTCTTCATGTTGAGGTTTGCACAGCCCTTTGGTAAGTATATCAGCTTGTTGTTCTCTTGTTCCTAAGTGTTGTGTCTGAATAAGCCCTTCAAGTATCTTCTCTCTTACAAAATGACAATCTATGTCAAAATGTTTAGTTCTTTCATGAAAAATTGGATGTGCTGCTATTTGGATAGCAGCTTTGTTATCACAAAATACCTTTACTGGCAACTTTATGTTCATTCCTAACTCTCTGAATAAGCCTTTCAACCACACTATTTCAGCAACTGTAGTGGCCATACTCCTGAATTCTGCTTCTGCAGAGCTCCTAGATATTGTGCTTTATTTCTTTGACTTCCAAGATACCAGTGCTCCTCCTAGTTTAATCATATAGCCAGTAACTGATCTTCTTGTTTCTACACAAGCCCCCCAGTTTGAGTCACAATAGGCTACCATTTCATTGTCTTTGTTACTTGACATAAACAATCCAAGACCTGCAGTTCCTTTTATATATCTAACCACTCTGAGTGCTGCTTCCATATGAGATGATTTTGGTGAGTGCATATATTGGCTGAGTACCTGTACTATAAAGGCTATATCAGGCCTAGTCATAGTTAAGTATAATAACTTCCCTATCAGCCTTTGATATTTTCCAAAGTCATCAAGAAGTAAGTCTTCTGCATTAGCATTTTTTCCAATGAATTCATCAAACACAGTGGAAGTTAGCTTGTGATTGAACTCCAAGGGTGTAGAAGAAGGCTTACAACCTGCTAATCCCAACTCAGACACAAGTCCTAAAGCATACTTCCTTTGATTCATTAGTATACCTTCTTTAGACCTGCAGAATTCAATTCAAAGAAAATATTTAAGCTCACCAAGATCTTTCATTTTGAACCTTTGTTGTAATTCCTCTCTTATTTGTTGTATATGATGTAAACTGCTCCCAGTAACCAGGAGATCATCAACATATACCAAGATGAGTAGAAGTTCTTTACCTATGTTCTTAGTAAAGAGTGAATAATCATAATGTGACTGAAAATCCCATATCAACTAAAGCCTCTGTTAGCTTTAAGTTCCACTGCCTTGGTGCCTGCTTCAGTCCATACAAGGACTTATGAAGCTTGCAAACCATGCTTTTCTCCCCCTGGTTTGCAAAACCTTCAGGAATCTGCATATACACTTCTTCAGGAAGATCTCCTTGAAGAAAGGCATTGTGTACATCCATTTGAAATATAAACCAGCCATATGAAACAGCTAAAGCCGCTACTGATCTTACTGTAACCATTTTTGCTACTGGTGAGAATGTCTCAGTATAGTCTAAGCCTTCCTTTTGATTGTATCCTTTTGCCACTAACCTGGCTTTATATCTCTCAACTTCTCCAGATGCTTTATACTTAACCTTAAACACCCACTTACAGCCAATAGGAACTTTTGTTGGAGGTAGAGCAACAATAGACCAAGTATTATTATCTTCTAGAGCATTAATCTCATCTCTCATAGCATTCACCCAATGAGTATCTTGACATGCCTCTTTATATGTATGAGGTTCAGAGATAGTAGAATATGCAACAAGTGATGCTCTATATGTAGGAGCTAGTTTGGAATAAGTAACATATTGTGACATAGGATATAAACATGCATTTTGTGCACTTTGAGTCACATATGAGTCCAACCAAATAGGTGGCTTAGATTGTCTAGAAGATCTTCTTAGAGGAACTAATGGTGTTGTAGTATTAAAGAAAGTCTGAGGCTGTATAGAAGTTGTAGGATTAGAACCTTGAATAGAGGTATTATCAGAAGCTAACTCAGTATATGAACTATCATGAAGATCCAGAATAGGAAACAAATGATCTGGAAAGGATTTAAGATTATTGAAAGGAAATATGTCTTCTTTAAACACAGTGTCTCTGCTTATAAAGAAGGATTTGCAAGTCAAATTATACAAGATATAACCTTTCTTGTTCAATGAGTACCCCATATGCACAACTGGAACAGCTCTAGGTGCAAACTTGTCTAGAATCTTAGGATCTGTAGCATAGCATAGACTCCCAAATACTCTAAGATGCTGAAGACTAGGAGCTTGTCCAAATAATTTTTCAAAAGCACTCTGTCCTTGTAACAACACAGTAGGTAATCTATTTAGTATGTATACAGCAGTAGTAACACAAAATCCCCAAAACTGTAAAGGTACACCAGCCAGAAACCTTAGTGTTCTCTCAATGTTAAGAATAGACCTATGTTTTCTCTCAACTACTCCATTCTGTTGAGGAGTATACACACATGAACTCTGATGTATAATGCCATTAGCCTTGAATAAATCATCCATTTGATTATTAACAAACTCTGTTCCATTGTCTGTTCTTAGACACTTAATGCCTACACCAAACTGATTTCTTACCAGATTTACAAAGTCTTTTAACACTACCACAACATCAGACTTAGTGTGTAATAAAAAAATCCAAGTATACCTGGACATATCATTCACAAGTGTTAAAAAAATATCTTTTACCATCATGATTAGGCACTCTGTAAGGTCCCCATACATCACCATGTATAATGTCAAAAACTGAAACTGAATGTGAAAGACTAGTAGGAAAAGGCAGTCTTGATTGCTTGGCAATTGGACATATAGAACAATGATGCTCATGTACAGATACAATGTTCAATTTCTTTATTCTACTTAACACTTTTAGAGGAGCATGTCCAAGTCTTTTATGCCATAGACTACTTAAAGAATCAGCAGTAGAATTAAAACTAATAGGCCTAATTCTTTTATATGCAGCTTCCTTTGCACATTCTCCAGAAGATACTTGATCATTTGAAGACTTTGTTGTGATAGCAGTATTGAGGATATACAATCCTTGATTCTCTTTACCAATCCCCAGGACCCTCCCATTGAAGAGATCCTGAAAAATACAAAAATCAGGAAAAAATACTACTGCACACTTCAACTGTTTTGTTAGTTGTGACACTGATAGAAGATTATACTTAAATTCTGGAACAAACAACACATTCTTTACTACTTTGTCTTTAAGAACCACAGATTCACCAATATGACTAATAGACACCTGATCACCAGTAGGTAAATTAACTCTCATACCACCTTGAACATCAAGATTTGTTGACTGACTCATTAAACCAAAGTTGTGAACCATATGATTGGAGGCACTAGTATCTATAATCCAGTTAATATGTGACATATCAGACATTAGAGCTGTAAAATTACGTGATGTTCCAGATACACCTGCAGTAGCTACATTGGCCATTGTATCCACTTCTTTACTCTTCCTTTTTCTCAGCATCTGCAAGATCTCATAATATTGTTCTTGAGTAAACATTGATACACCTTGTCCTAAAGTAGTATCATTAGAAGACTCATTTGTTCTAGCATTAGAACCTGAAGTTGAGTCAATCATTCCAGACTCATTGCCAGTAGAAGCATTATTTGCATAAGAAGATACTCCTCCTTTCTTCTTTGGATAACCATGAAGCTTATAACAGGTTTCTTTTGTATGACCTTTATAATGACAAAATTCACAGTAGAGTTGAGACGTTCCTGCAGTGTAACTTGTTCTAGCATCTCCATACCTCTTATTTCTATATACATTATTTTGGAAGTTAGAAACACCTCTTCCTGTTCCTGAGGAAGTTGTATTGTTGTTATAGTATCCATCATTTCCTGAATTAGAAGAACTAAGAGGCATTCTATTACTCATCAATGCTATTTCAGACACAGCTTCTCCAGATGAAAATGTATTTCCTGTACCTTGAATTCTTTGACTCTCAACACTAACAATCATAACATAAGCCTGATTTACACTTGGAACTGGAATCTGCATAAGAACTTGGCTTCTTGCATGAGCATAAGATTCATTAAGTCCCATAAGAAATTGCCACAACTTTTGAAATTGTAAATGCACTATGTATTGTTTAGACTCAGGACAGGCACATGAAGGACAAGGAATCAAAGTTTCAGCCTCATCCCACAACTCTCTTAGTCTTGAAAAATAGATTGACACAGAAGAAGTTCCTTGTGACATAGTGACTAATTCCTTGTGCAGATAAAAGGCTCTAGATGCATTTACTTTATCAAATCTTTCACGTAGATCTTCCCACACTGAATGAGCATCAGATCCATAGATTATTGTACTAATCAAACTTTTAGACACAGTATTCATAATCCATCCAAGAACAGTTGCATTGCATCTATCTCATACAACATGTAAGCATTCAGAATACATTTCCTTTTTACATGTTCCAAGTAGAAATCCTAGCTTGTTTTTTCCAAGTAACACAAGTTTTAAAGATTTGCTCCACAAAGAATAGTTTTCAGAACCCACTAATTGAATTGAAATTAGAACAGAACCTTGAGTATCTGAAGGATGTATAAAGAGAGGATGATTGTGATCGATTTTGGTTGTGTTTGTAACTGTTTGTTGTTGAACTTCACTTGAAGCTCCATCTCCAGTTGAAGGCATGATTGATCGAATTTAACAGCTCCCAATTTCTCGATTTAGACAGACAATTGATCTTCAATTCAAGACTCTTTAAACTCTTGTCTTCAGATTATGAAGAGCTTAACAGAGAGATTCAAATTCTCCTGTGCTCTGATACCATGAGAAGAAAAGCTCTATCAATGAGCTTTAAGAAGATGAAGAAGACATGAGAGAATGATGAAGAAGAAGTTTTGTATATTTCTGTGTTATGTTTACATATGAGTCCTCATCCTTATATATATATATACAATTACATTTATGTATTAAAGAAACTACTTTACTTAACTAACTTGTATTTAACTAACTAACTAACTACCTAACTAACTAACTAATAAACTGAAATATTAAAAGAGTATATGTTTTGTTTATAAGCTCTCTTAACACTAAGTTCAGATTATCAAGTCAAACAAATAGGAGGTATTTTTTTTATTTTGGTTCAAAAAATATTTCATTATCCTGTCTTTGTATTTGTATACCTTATACACAAGCCTAAAAGGTATAAAATGTTAACAAAAATTCCAAAACGGTATATGAATATTTATTTTAACCAAAAGGGTAAAATCACTGGAAGGGCAGCGATTTCGCCCGCCGGGAAAAATAAAATTGCTGCCTTAGCAGCGATTTCTAAAATATTTTTTTGTAATGATTTTTTAATAAATCGTTCCCTAAACAGCGATTTTCTTAATTTTTTATTTGAAATTTAAAAAAAAATAGGAGCAAATCGCTGCCTAGCAGCGATTTGTCTCCAAATTGTTTTTTTATTTTTTCCAATCAATTTTTTTAATTTTTTTTTACAATTTTTAAATTTAAATTTAAATTTTTTAAAGAAATTTTAATTTTAAATTTTTCTAATACTTATTTCAAAATAATTTTTTTAATGATTATTTTAAAATAAGTAGCAATCAAAAATTTTCTAAAAAATTGATTTAAAAAAAATATAAAAAAAAAATTGGAGACAAATCGCGTCACTTGCAGCGATTTTCTCTCCTAATTTTTTATTTTTTTAATTTCAAATAAAAAATTAAGGAAATTGCTGTTTAGGGAGCGATTTTGTAACGACCTGTTTAGTCGTTTTGAGCAGCAGATTTTATTTCTGGAAAAACAGGCTGAGACGATGGAACCCATGACGGAACGTCATGGGCACGACGGACCGTCGAGGGTGTCTCGTCTCAAAACACTAAGAAATTCTAAAATTTGGGTGCTGAAATCCACTCTCTGAACTCTGTGACGGACCTGCAGGACGGACCGTCACAGGCACGACGAACCGTCGTGATCCACCGTTTCAAAACACTTCAACTCTTGAGAATTTGGTACAGGGAACGA